GTGAGAATAGTCACGTGATCTTGATGACGCAACAGTATCATATCCTCGACACTATTTAAACAACTACAGAATACAAAGTCACTGTAGAATTCACTGATTAAACAAATCATATTTAAAATTTGAATGTAAACATTGAACAATATTGTTATACTGCAAATGTGCAGTGGGTAATTGTTAACGATATTTTTCCACTTATTACAATATAACATGCTCCTGCTGCACTTGGAAGGGTATCAACACTTATTGGCAGTGTGGTATGCAAGCATGCAATGCATTTTTTACCTTTTGTTTCATTATAGAATTTTCCAAATTATTAAATGATTCAAGTGTATGTGCATTTTTCATATAACGCATTTTCCAGAAAGCCGTTAAATTGCTTTTGCTCTAGTTACTTGTGTCCTTTATCATTCCCTTGTGATAACAACCTGGTTTGCCGTAGAGGATATAACTGTAAAGCTCCATACAAAGAATATAGACAACAATTTCTCCACTGGTATGTCAGTTGATGTCTCGTAGTTGGAACAGCTCTTAAGTTTGAATGAGAATGATCATTCAAATAGATAATGCTCTGAGTAAATTAGATTTTACCATTTAACTAGGTAATTTAAGATTTAGTCAGTCTGGGATAGGATCTCAACCAAGCAAGTAAGAAGAGAAAATAGTTTATGATCCAGTGAATGCGACCTTTCATCGTCCATAAACAAGTACACACTATGTGTTTATGTTTGCAAGCAATAAAGATTGTTCATTGTATTCCTATACAATTATGCCTAATCTATTTCCTTTTCATAACTCATTTATTCAGAGAACTAAGAATTACTTCGTGAGAACTATCTTGTTCGAATATTCCATTATTCTGTCGTTCTAAGGAAAATCAGTTTGACCTGAAAATATCATAGTATAACACTTAGTTTTGGAGAACACTTTTAAACTTTTGGCACCGCTTCTCTAACACACTTCTCGATATATTTGATAGTACTTATTTGAACTAACAACATAGTTTTCTTGACACACAGCGAACTGGCTTCGAGTGATATATTGTTTGAGAACTTTTTCTGTTGTTCCAATTTTGTAGGATTCATCGTGAAAATTTTCCATATCCACACCAAGTATGTTGTAAGCTTTTGGTAGGTTTCCCATAAGACAACATATTCATATTTTAGTTTGCACTTCTAGTGCTTCTCTTGCTGATTCTCTCTCTCTATATATATATATAGTCTAAAATACCTTTATTTTAAAAACAGAAATAGAAAGTGATCATTCTTCCATAACCTTTTATCTGTACACCACTTTTACAATGCACGAACTGCATGAGCAGCTTCTTTGCATACAGTAAAAGAATGAACAATCGAACACGGTTTCGAACGTACCATACAGGTTATATTTCCACCTGTATATTCTATTGGAATTTCTAGTGAAGTACATTGCTCCATAACTACAGTGAAGTACATACCAACTGCAATGTCATTATCATGAACAGTTCAATTTTGTTTCACAACCTCATCTGTATCGGATATTATTGCTGAGTCTACATGTAAATTGGAATTACTTTTTTGAGCTAATCTAAAATACCATACTATTACGATCTTTATCTATATCAGATATGGACGTTCACCCTTCCTGATGTAGTATCGTGCCTTCGGCTTCATATGTTGATATTGTATGGTCCCTTATGCAGCTGTGGAGTTTTTCTTGCATAGTAACCCACTTTTTTCTTTTGTTCTTACCAGCCTTTCACATTGGTTCTTTATCAATGTAAATGAATCACTTACTGCTGTTTATTTCTTCTCTGCTTCCTTCCACTGGGTCATCTTACTCTGGCTTTTTGACAGAGATTTATCCATGTCAGTGATCGTCGGTTATAGAGCAACTTGGTTCACCACTTTTCTTCTCTTACCTGACCCTTTTCCCTTTCAATTTGTAATAATGACAGACCTCTTCCAGTCTTTTCTCGTCAGTCATTCCCCCCTCACCAAGTCCATATTCTAGACTGAAACCCGAACTATCACTAGTTCCCAATTTGACCATTTGGCTTTCTGTTCCATGTATCACCTATCCATGAAAACGTTTTTTCTTCTTATGTTTACTTGTAGGAGGCATCACTCAGACATTTATGCATTGGATTCTTCCTACACTCTTTATCACCGAGATCAGTTGATCTTATTTCTGAATCACTACTTTCTTCCCAAAGACTTGAGCTGCCCGGGCGGGAGAGGGGGGGGGGGGGTTGGATGTTTTCTCCAATTACTATCCCTTCAATTTTTTCTTTATAAGATTATTCCAGCCCTGATCATCTTTCGTGTATGGCATGGGCTTGTCACCTTCGACTTTAATTGGGTGGGTTCATCAAATCATCTTGTTGGTGTATTCATAATTGGGTGAGGTTGTCCTTACACTTTATTGCGTCACCTTTCATCAGGTTTTTCATCTTGTTGACATCATTTTCTGGGTAAGATTCTACAGGTTGGAATATGGATAATACCTAATATATATTCATCAAATTACCTACACATGCAAATTGCCTACACATGGCAGTTTCTTGTTCTTCTAGCTTTTGCCTCCCTATGGTTACCACTCTATAGTCTACTCAAAGATTCTCATGAGTTGAGCATTGTTATTTGTTCTTCACTTTCTCCCCTGCTCACTTCTTGACTTTTGTAGGTCGGGTTTTCATTACATCATGTTAATGGAACTCACCTTGTAGCTTATGTTGTTTCACTGTGAATACTTACCCAAAATCCATATTGGGCAGGGGTGTAAAGAAAGTGTTAATCCCATCTGTCCTTGCTCAGTGCCTGTTGTTGAGATGGGATTTTTCTGCAATACTGCTTCAGCAGTGTTTAGAAACATCTTCCAGACCATTCTGCATATGATAAAAAAATGACAGCATTTGGTTCCAGCACAACTCGCTTATACCTTTCATCTTCAGTTGCAGTAATCCATTGCACTGTTTTTCAGTGTGGAACCTAATTCCACATTATTTTGCCTGGTGTTACAGTACAAGCATCCCTCCACATTAATTGCTCCCCTCCCCAATTCTTCTAGTGAAATGTGGAAGAACCCTTGTTTTCACAGTTACTGGAGAAATAATATGGTAAGTTCCTCATTGGGTGGTGCAATATTATTGGTACAAGACCGAGTGGATGCACCTCATTTGGGAAGTAGGACTGGGGAGTTACATAGTAGTGTAGTACAGGATACCCCACTAAGGTCTGAACCAAGCAATTCCCTGTGGTTAGGTTGAGTCAAACGGGTTTTGGGTTTATCACGGGACACAGTTCCAGAATGCTTCTCCCTGCACCAGACTGTGGTAAGTATATCATGTAAGTATTTCTCTAATATATAATAGCCTAACTCCTGGACCAAGCCACATTACACACTTATGCTCAGCTGATCACATGTGAGATAATGGCCAGTTGAGCAATCTTACATTCCTTCAACCTTAGCAACAGGCAAAAGATTGTGCCACTTTTTTTGTTCTGTTTCCTCTCCTGATAATGAGCACCACATTAAAATTGGGCCAAGAGTATTCCTTACTTTAGGTGTTGAGATGAATGCAGTCTCCCATAAGTGCTGCCCCACAAGGTCACCTTCTGCCTTGTGGGTGTCACATTCAATGGGCTTTTCCATTCTGATGTTGTTGTTGTTTCCTTTTGTGAAAGGAGCTAATATTTGCAATCTATTTATCTGCACTAGCCCCTCCACCATCTGGAATTGCAGTTCTTTGTGGTGCATAGAGGTGAGTAGAGTTTCTGAAGTTAACACCTTCCTTACCTGAAAATGTATTTCAGATAGATACTTACTTCTCTGTTCCTTTCTCTCTCACCTTTCCTTCCCACTTCTGATGTATTTTCCATGCTTGCCTCGTCCAGAATGAGCCTTTGTTCAAATGCTAATGCACATGGAAGATGTTTCACTCTTATGTTGGTGGAAGGCTATAGTCTAATGATGATTACATCAAAAGCTGGCACAATACACATT